ATCCTAGGGGATGGGGGCCGGTGCGAAGCACATGACTAGACATGAGGCGGTAAAAGTTGGTGTGGGGGGCGATACCTTGAGTTAGCAGAGAGGGCAAGTAGGGGTGTGTGCACAGAAAGGGGCTTGCCCGAGGCATCAGGCTCAGTCAGCAGAGACTTTAGAATCTGGGTCTCCTGATCCTGACCCAGGGATCTTCCCTCCTGCCAAAGTGATGTTTCAGCTCACCAGTTACAGTTTAAAAGTCTCAAATATCTTGGCTTTTCAATGCAGTAGGTCTTCTGTGTGCCCAGCCCTCACCCATCTATCTGTTCATCCATCCCTCCATTGAGGGTCTACAGCTGCCTCAAACTGAGCTGGACTCCAAGGATAAGTAGAGAACAAGTTCTGAGGTGCCCTGCCCTTAGAGTAATGACAGGGATGTAAGACCCGGGAAAAGGCCTTGCCAAGCTCTTTGGGGAAGTTGCTTCTCGGTTAGTCTTGATTAAGGCTGTGAGTTTTAATGAAACTTCAAGTTGAAATCTCTCTAATATGATGTTCAATCAAACTTTTGTATGTGGAAAAATTAATTTTTGGAAACAATTTTAAGTGTTCGAGGCATTGAAAGATCAGTCTCATATTTAATAGTTTGGTGGCAATTTTTTTGGTTTGCTTCTGGAATAAGTCACTTAATCACTTAACTTCCTGTTAGTCGTCGATTTGCTCGAGCGGGCGCCAGTAACGTCTCCATTTGTCTCTGTCGCGTGCTAGTGTAGCCCAATGGCATCTGTTCGCTCCGGGAACATGAAGGGCCTCAAACCGATCGTTCATGATCTTAATGAAGAAGTCTGACCATCTGGAAGGTGGGCGGCCACGCGGTCTTTTGACATCCTGTGGAATCCAGTCAGTAACAGCTCTAGTCCAGCGGTCGTCTTTAAATCTCATTACGTGACCAGCCCATCTGATTTTCGACACCTTGGCAAATGAGACAGCGTCCCTGATTCTTGATCGTCGATGGATGTCAGAACTCCGGATTCTTTCTCTCATTTGAGTGAAACGTGATATTCCAAGCATAGCTCTTTCTATTCTTCTTTGGGAGACCTGAATAGCGTTCTCATCTTGTTTGCGTAGGGCCCAGGTCTCTGAGGCATATGTTAATGCAGGAAGAACAGTGGAATCAAAGAGATGTGCCCAAATTCCACAGGATGGATATGTCGTTCCCAACGTTCTCCCTTCCGAAATCCGACACGCCATTTCGTCGGTAAAGAAACAAACAGCACCCGGCCCAGACAAGGTCAGACCTGAACACCTGAAGAACCTGCCGTCAGTACTCATCAATACACTGGCTCGGCTCTTCACTCACTACCTGTCTGAATGCAAGGTTCCGTCCCAATGGAAAACCAGCAGGACCGTACTACTGTTCAAGAAGGGAGACATCCATGACATTGGCAACTATCGCCCAATCTGCCTATTGTCTGTCATCTACAAGTTGTTCACTCGAGTCATCCTAAATAGGATTGGCAGAACACTAGATGAAGAACAACCATGCGAGCAAGCAGGGTTCCGCAAAGGATTCAGCACCATCGACCATATCCACACAATAACCAAGCTCATTGAGGTTTCTCGGGAGTTCAAGATGCCACTCTGTTTAACGTTCATTGATTTAAAGAAAGCCTTTGATTCTGTTGAGACGGAAGCGGTCATTGAAGCCCTAGCCAATCATGGCATTCAAGCCCAGTACATCAGGATCCTCCGTGAGCTGTATTGCGGATTCACTACCAGGATCTCACCATTCTATAAAGAAGTGATCGTTGATGTCAAGAGAGGGGTGCAGCAGGGTGATACCATTTCACCGAAACTCTTCAGTGCCACCCTCGAGAACATCATGCGACGACTGGAATGGGAAGGAATGGGAGTGAAGATAGATGGTCGGCAACTACACCACCTCCGCTTTGCTGATGACATTGTTTTAATAACATCAAACATCAGCCAAGCGGCACAAATGCTGGCCGACTTTGACCGTGAGTGTGGAAAGGTAGGACTACAGATGAACCTTACGAAGACAATGTTTATGAGAAACAGCCTTGTTCCTGACGCCCCATTCGCTCTCAATGGAACGACCATCTCCGAATGCAACAGCTATGTGTACCCAGGTCGAGAGGTCAACATGACAAATGACCTGGCACCTGAGCTGCGCAGGAGGAAGAGAGCGGCTTGGAACGCCTTCAAGAACGTCGAAGAAATAGCTAAGAGGACGAAGAACCTCCGGAATAAGTCAAAAGGCAAAATGCTGTGAATTCTCTCTGAAAAAGCTTTTGTAAATTGGAGTTTTGCAAACCCTCCCGCAGACACATCCATAATCGTCAGGCCCTTCGCCTTACACAGAGAGAGCGCTATGGAGCTGCACGGTGCTTCAACACTTGCCAACTGCTTTTGGCTGCCCATGCAATGCCAAGAAACCATATGGAAAACAAAAAATTCAGGGAAAAATCTGGATGCCTTGTCTATATGACAACAAATAATTGGGTATTTGAAAACAAGAGACTCTGTTTTGGGTTGGTTTTGTTTTAAACTAACCCTTGAGTCATCTTTTGGGGATCCTTAAATGCTACCTCCCAGGAATCTGTGGCGTTCCCATGCCATCACATCCTTTTCTCTCCTTCTCTGTCTCCCTCTCTCCTCTGATTCTTTCTGTGCTCATGCCCATATCTGTGTCTCAGAACCCCCAGTGTCCCACGACCGTTTCCTGAGACCGGCAGTGTGAGAGAGGTGTCTGGAGCACGAGGGCCACATACTGTGATAGTCACCAACCTCTCATGCAGGAGGTCACATGCTCACCAATCTCAGAGCCACAAGATGGTGGAGGCCACCTGATCTGGTGAGACTTGGCAAATGAATGAAACAAACTTTCCTTGGGTCACTCTCTGGAGTCTGAGGGTCCTTTGTGACTCTATCCCAGCCTGTCTGGCCTGATTGAGCCCCAGGATGCTCTAGGAAAACTGCACGGGTCATGTCCCACCTTCTCCTTCAAATCTGACCCGTCCTTCAGGAAGTCGCGCATTGCTCTTCCGAATATCTGTCCTTCTGACTTTGACAACCAGAGGTTCCGGGGCCACCTCTGTTGCCTCTTCTTCACCCTCTTGTCCTGTCTTTTCATTCCTCATCTGGATCAATGCGACAATGCCACAATGGCTGCCTTATGCATTTTTCTACTCTTTTCTAAGCCCCAACTCACAGAAACTACCAGAATTAGCTTTCCAGCTAACAAATCTGCTCAGATCATTTTTTTCTCTTTTTTTGACTTTTTGAGTCACAACTGGCAATGCCCAGGGTTTACTCCTGGTTGTGCACTCAGGAGTTACACCTGGCGGTGCTTCGGGAACCATGAGGAAGCCGGCGATTGAACTCAGGTTGGCCGCACGCAAGGCAAATGCCCTACTACTGTACTGTCGCTCCATCCCCTCAGGTAATTCTTTTCCCTGAAAACCCTAGAAGGTTCTCTGGCCTTAGAAGCAAGTACAAGCTTTTCAGCATGATGACCCGAGGGCCTAGCTTTCTTCACATTTCTAGGCATGGCCTTGTCCTGTGTGGCCCTTCCCATGTGGATTGTACATCCTTGTCCCTTGTCTGTGCTTGCTCTGCTCCACTTCGGTGGTTCTCCACCCATTGTTCTGAGCCTGTTCAAGTGTGTTTTCCTATGATGCCAACTCTGAGGGGCTGTTTCTCTCCTTACAACCACCCTGAACTGGTATACCTGCTCACCTACAACTCCAAGGTGGGTGTATCTCTCTTTAAAAACACTCTGAGCTGGCTGTAACACCCCTCTGAGGTGGGTGTCTCTCACCTCCTCTGAGCTGTACCGTAAAACCACCTCTGAGGTGGGTATATTTTCCCTCACAATTGTGTCTTAGCCATTTATCTTAGCTCAGAACCATATCTCAGCAAATGTATCTCCTCAAAACCACCTCTAAGGTGGTCTGTAACTTCACAAACAGCTCTGAGGGGGTGTATCTCCCCTCACAACTACACCTGAGGGCATATATCACTTCATCACCAGGTCTCAGTGGCTATTCTCAGTTCACAACTACTGCTAAATCACTCAGAGACAGGCCCTTAGAGATGGTCATGTGATAAACCCACCTCAGAAGGAGTTGTGAGGAGATACAGTAAGTGTATCTCAGTGTTTCTCCTCACAACTGCTGAAGTGTATCTCCTCACAACTCTCTCTGAGATGAGTTTATCTCCTCCTAACCACCTGTGAGGACTGTGTTTCTCTCAGTGAGCTCACCTTCCAAGCACACATGGGTGTGTGTGATAGCCGGGTATCCTGTTGCCACCCCTATCACACACGGATGTTGCGTCTGTCTCCCTTGCTGGCCCTGAGACCTGGCTTTGTCTCTGGGCCATCACCTAGTTCCTTGACTCTTTGGGGACCATCCAGGGGACCTTGAGCCTCAGGCCTCCCGGCCTTGCCCTCTTCCTTGAGCTGGACACTCTCAGAATCTTCTGAAAGGGCCCAGTGAACAGAGGACAGTGTGGGTCTATGTGTGTCTGGGTGTGCGGGTCTGTGTGTCCTGAGTGCAGGGCTGCACGTGTCGGGCTACGGGATGTGTGTCAGGGTGTGGGAGGCCTGCCGGGGTGCAGGATGCGTGCCCGGGTGTGGGATGTATGTCAGGGTGCAGGATGCGTGTCCAGGTGCGGGTCTGCATGTCGGGGTGCGGGACGCGTGTGGGGGCGCGGGTCCGCGTGCCCGGGTGTGGGATGTATGTCCGGGTGCGGGGCGCGCGCGTCCGAGCGCGGGGACCCCCGGGCGTGCCCCTGCCCGCGCCGGCCGCCAGGCGTCGCTGCTCCCCGGGCCGCCGCGCCCCTCCCGCCGCCGCCCGCGCTCGCGGCTCCTTTCTCTGGCGCTCACGCTCGCGCTCGCCTCTCGCTCCGCCGCGCTCGCGCCCGCCCGCGCCCTCTCACCCCTGCCGCCCGCCGCGGGCCCCGCGCCCCGCGTCCCGCGTCCCGCGTCCGGCCGCGCCCGGCGCCATGGCTCGGCTCCTGCTGCCGCTGCTGCTGCTGGCAGCCGGCGGGGCGGCGGGGCGCGCGCCCGGGGACGGGCGTCCGGGCCAGCTCGTCAGCTCGTCGTTCGTGCTCCGGGGGGACGCGACGCACAACCAGGCGATGGTGCACTGGACGGGCGACAACAGCAGCGTGAGTGGCCGGCGGCGGCCGTCGGGGTCCCCGCGCCGCCCGCCTCCCCCTCGCGGCCGCCTCGCGCCGGGAAGTTTGAGGCGCGGCCGGGGGGCGCGGGGGGCGCGTCGCGTCGCGCGGAGAGGGGCTCCGGGAGGGGTCGCCTGCGAGGGGCGCCCGCGGGCGCGGCGGTCGTGGGCGCTGAGGGCCCGGGGGCGCGCGGGTCTGCGCGGGCTCTGACGTGAGAGCGGCCCGAGTGGGGTCTGGGCGCGGGGCGCGTGAGGGGGCCAGGGAGGGACTTCGGGAGGGTCTGGGGCGTGGTCTGGGGCGGCGCTGGGACGGGGTCTCTGAGGGGTCTGCGAGGGGACCCCAGGGGGGTCCGGAGGGCGCCCTTGAGCGCTGGGCGCGAGGAAGAAGCGTCCCAGCTCCGAACGGGCCCTGCATTTGCCCCACAGATCCACGGGCAGCCGCAGCTTTGGGTCCGGGGTCCGGGGTCCCCGGGGGCTGCCGTTCGCCTTCGTTGGTGGGGGTCCGCCTCAGGCGCGTCCCTTCCCGCCGATTTGCTCTTTGGAGACTTGGCTGGTCCGTCGCTCTCCTGTGTCCTTACACCTGGGAGGCTGCGGTGCCGAGGGGCTGTTGGGGGCGCGGGTGGGGGTGTCGTCTTCTCCGTTGGGGGAAGTAGGGACCCGAAGCAGACGGCCTTGAGGGGCCGAGTCTCCCCTCTGCCCCCGAGTCGGGCCGGAGGCTGCAGGGAAGAGGCCGAGGAGGCCTTGGGCTGAAGCACCTTCCCTGCCTTTTCCCCCTGCTCCCCGCCCTCACCTCTCGGCGTGGGAAAGCGAGGAAGACCAGGGTCCTCTCAGAAGGGCACATTGTCTCTTGGCTTGGGGAGCCAACAAGCCTCCGAGGGTTCCTTGTGCCTAGAGAAATCTGGGGCCGAGAGACACGTGCGCGCCCCAGCGGCGCTGTGTGGCCTGTGTTCTGCACACACCAGGACGCAGGGAGCCCCCGGTCCCCACAGCAGCCCGGGCCAGAGACGGGCGCCCGTCCCACACCCGTTCTCATCCCTCTGGGAGCAGCACTTTAGAAATGACCCCAGGGAGGAAATGAGGATTGTCTGACACGCTGAGAGGAATCTTGGGAACATCCTGGCATTGCTGGTCTGGGGAGAAACCTCCGCACGCAGACTTGGGACAGGAGAGCCCAGAAGGGCTGGCGTCTCCGTGTTTTCACGATAGACCAGTGCTTTGGATAAGGACAGGCGATTCATTGAATTTGGTTTGGGGGCCACACTGGGTGGTTCTCAGGGAACCGTTGCGACGCCAGGAGTCAAACCGGATCAGCCATATGCAAGGCGGGCACCTTCCAAGCCGTACTACCTCTCTGGCCAGCGTGGGCTTTTGGATTTATTTTTTGTCTTTGGGCACACCCAGCAGTGCTCAGGGCTTCCTGCTTGCTCTCTGCTCAGGGATCATACCTGGTGGGGCTTGGGGAACCATCTGGGGTGCCTATTCCAGGTTGGCCAGGTAAGCACCCTATGACTCCGGTCCCCAGGACGGGATTTGGAAAGTGTTTGAGCCGCTGCCATCACAGCAGCAGTTCCAGTAGGCTGTGTCCTCCCGGGGCACCTGGGCCTTCCTGTGGGGCAGAAGCAGCTGTTACCTGGGAAACCTCTGTTTCCTTCAGCCCACGGGCACCTCAGACCAGAGCGACTGAACTGCCAGCTCCGGCTCCGGCTCCGGCGTCTCCTGGGAGGGGAGGTGTGACCTGTGGTGTGGATATCACAGGGCGAGGGTCTTGGCCTCCAGGCATGCTCAGTCATCCGCCAGGGGCTAGTGTGGCCCATCCTTGCGTCCCCACTGCTACTGCATGCCTCTCCCCATGGCACTTGAACTTCATATCTGAAGCTCCGGGACCTGATTGTGGGCTTCTTGCGCCTGAATCCAGGTGCTCAGCTTCCCTCTGGTGGGGTCACTCTGCCCCCACCCCGGCATTGTCCCTTTGTCCTCTTGTGTTGCCCTGCCCAGGCCTGGGCGTCCAGGGAGGCCACATGTGGGACTGAGCTTCAGCCGCCCTTGCCCTGCTCCCCGCGGGCTTCCAGAATCTCACATTTGTCTCTTTTGTGCCTGAGAGCTAGAGCTGCAAATTAGACGTAGGCGGCTTCTGAGACTGTTGTCTCTGAGCTAAAAGGATAAGAACAGGCTGTTACCCCGAGTTTCTTCCGGGACAGCACCCTGGCCTTCCCTGCATGTGTCTTGGCTGGGCCGCCATGCCTGCCTGCCTGCCTGTGGGAGGTGGGATCGTTTTCGGGGGGCCCAGAATCCAGCGGCTTCGCCCTGCCATCATTACTTCTCACGTCTGGAAGTGCAGGCGGGGCTGGTGGGCTCCCTCTGAGGCCTGTCTCCGGCCTGTGAGGACTCTGTCTTCCCCTTGGGTCCCCACAATTGTCCCATGGTGCATATCCATGTCCTCATCCCCTCGTCTTGGAAGCACGCCCCCCGGGTCACCTTCAGGGCCGCTGTGAAGCCCCCGCTCCAATAGGGTCACATCTGAAGGCTGGGGAACTTTTAGATGGGGATCCTCACAGCAGGCAGGCTGCCCCATGGAGGGAGGGGTGCTCAGAAAACAGCCAGCCGGCGAGGGATGGGGGACATCGACCCCAGCAGCAAAATCCGGAAGACTGCTTCGAAAGAGGCAGCGTCAGGGTGGGCCGAGACAGCAAGTGGCCTATGGGAGATGGTGGAGAACGTTGTGGTGGGGTGGGAGGCGGGGGGAGGGGGTGTGAACAGCTGAACCAGGTTGGATTTGAAGGGGCCTATGGGTCAGTTCAAGGGTCCACAATGGCTACATTGTGGCTCGGCGGATGGACGGGGAAGCCCCGGCACCTCAGTGACCATAGCTGAGAGGCATGTTGTCCCCCCCGCCCCCGGCAAGGACCCTGGCCCACAGCCCAGAGAGTGATGTCCGGTCAACGTACACCCCGGGTCAGGGAACTGCCAGGCCAGCCCACCGCCCCCAGGGCCTGGCATCCAGCCAGGAAGGACTGCTTCCGGAAACTTGGGATCTTCTGCTCTCTTCTGCACTCAGCCTGTGCGAGCTGAGGCCACACCAATTGGGCGAGACGAGGCTCGTAGAACCTTCCAGTCTCTGCTCTGGAGAACCTCTTGGGTGCTGGTGACACCCCTGAAGTCCGGGGAGACATACGGTGTGGAGAGGCGTTGATTTCTCACAGTGCCCAGGGAATCGGTATTGGGGAATTCAGGGAGGACTTTCTGGAGGAAGCGATGAGTGAGCTGCTCTAAAGGGGGGGGGGTGGGAGTAATAGGACTGGGGAGAAGGGGAGACCCGAGAAGCCTGGGGCTAGGGTCCTGGATGGAGTGAAGCGGGAGGACAAAGCCATGCAGCTGGCCGCTGGGGGCGGCAGGCGTGAGGCTGCTAATAAAGCACCTGGACGCACGACGCAAATCCGCTCTTACTTTAATAAAGTGGCTCTTTAATTTGTAGTTGCATGAGGGTTCCTGTGAGTATTTCAAAGAGGCCATAAATTAGCTTCATTCTGCCGCGCACCCCTCAGACCAGGGGGCAGCCCGGCACTGGCTCACACAGCTTGGAAGCTGGTTTTGTTATCCTCAGTCTGAGGCCTACAGAGACTCGAGGGGGCACTGGGAGCGGGGTTGAGAGCTGAGCTGACCGCTCAGGGGCTCAGGGTGGACACCAGAAAACCCCCAGCCTGCTCCTTCTTCCAGCCCTGGGAGGGTGGCAGGGGGCTAGGAAAGAACCTCGTGTCGGGGGTTCCTGGTGCTTTGTTCAGCCTCCAAGGAGGGGGCTATTTCTAGGCTCCTTCCAGGCTGCCCGGGGGCAGGCACCCATGCTTTCTCAGGGACACATCGACCCCAGAAATGAGGCTGTAGTCAGTCCTGGACAACCTCCCCCCACACTTTGCAGCGGGGAACCCCCTCCCCCCCCCGCTCCGCCCACCCTTGGTGAAGCCTCCGCTGTGTCTGCACAGCTGCTCCCACCCGCTGCTTCTGGGGATACTCTGACAGACCCAGCTGTCCTGTGCTCCCAGCACCCCCTAACCTTCCCCCCACATGCCGACCTTGCCTTGTCCAGCTCAGACTTCTGGGGAGCCCCCAGTGCTCCTGCCTGCCTGGCCCACGTTCCCAGCCACTCCCTGGGGCACTGCACAGATGGGCAGTGTCATTTTTGTCACTTTCTGCATTCAGCGGATACCAGCGCCTGAGCTTTCCCCGGAGAGCTAGAAAGCGAGAAAGTGAGAAAGGAAACGATGCTCTTTTGGGGGCTGGGAAGGCCTCCCGTTTGGGGCTGTGCATTTCTCTAGCAGTCAGTTACTGTATTTGTGCCGAAAATCACATCATTTAATTAGTTTCTTCTCATACCAGCTCACAGATCTTAAAATATCCATGCTCCCCTTCCTTAGTAATTTTCTGGCAAAAGCAGCTAATTTCCTGCAGCAGGAGCTCTCCAGGCACTGGGGGGCACGTCGCTTGCTCAACGCCATTTCCCCATGCGCAGAGAGAAATTAACTTTAATTAGAGTCAGAGGAAGCCAGGCCCAGTGCACAACACGGCCCTTCTAGCCCCTCGGAGCCCGGAGAGGCCTGCAACGTCGCCAGCAGAGATTTCACCCTCAAACCCCCAGGGCCTGCTGACCTTACTCCCGGTTGGGGGTCACTGTGCCCAGTGGTCCCAGTCCACTTTTACCCACTGCTCCCGGTCACTGCTGATATCATGCCCACATGCCTCCTGCTGCTCCCTGACCGGGTCCTGGACAGGGCAACGCCTACCATGCTGGTCGCTTTCCGGGTAATGCCAAGGCCGGCCAGGGGACTGGCTCCAGCAACCCCTGGCTCAGATGCTGCCGAAGTCACTCAGATCCCCCTTCTCTTTTTGGGGGGGCCATAACCAGGGCTCAGGGCTTACTTCTGGCTCTGTGCTCAGGATCACTCCTGGTGATGCTTAGGGGACCATTTGGGGTGCCAGGGATCGAATCTGGGTCTGCCA